TCATAGATTTTTTTTTTTTTTTTTTTTGTCAATTTCCCATTCATTTCCTATGGGTCGGTCATTTTTGACCGAAGAACACAAATGTGACTTTTTTTTTTTTTTTGTTTGTTTTTTTTTTTTTACGACCACTTAGCCTGCTCGGATCATGACCAATTTGTTTTGTTTTTTTGTTGTTTTTTTGCGTTCACATACCCAATGCCATAAAAGTCACCAAGTTTAGTAACATTCCGATGAAGCTGTGATTTTTAAAATTCCAAAACAGAAAATTTTTCTGTCAGAGATTACCGAAGAGCACCTGAGGGTTGAACAACACAAGCAGCAATGTGTCTCTAGTACAAGGAAAATATATATCATTGCAGAGATGGGGGTCTATACAAAGACTTTTAAAAATGTCTCATTTTGTGGCTATATTTACGTATGGACAAAAACATTTAAAAAGTTCAAAATATCTTATTTATACCAGGTTAAAACAACATGTGAGTGGATAAATGATGACAGAGTGGTGTCTGAGAACTGAGGATATTGTAAAATTTACTTCCAAAATTGTTTTGTTGAAAGAAAAAAGGTTTATTGAAACTATTAGACCAACAATTATTTTAGATCCTCTATTTGAATTTGAAATTTAAAATGACATTCATTTGGAATTATGTTATACATGACCAACCAATGAAATGGTTACAATAATGATCATTTTCTCAGATACACTACAAATGTCATAGAGAATTCTATTAAAAGTATAGAAAAGTGATGTTTAATTGGTGCCACTTGACACCCATTTCATTCGTTCTGACCCATCAGTCCAACCTCATGTTGCGCAAAGACATCTTTGCCACTGATAATGTCTATCCTGACAGTAGTCGGTCTATTAATCGTTTAACGGCTAGAGGGTCCCTTCTGCTCATCAAGCATACCGTCTTAATGAGCGTTGGAGTCTTTAAACCGTCATTATGGAGTCATGCTTGGCTTGTGTCCTCTGTGTAGGTATGTGCACAGTTTGCTGGGCCAGCATAGGGTGAGGGGAGGAGGAGGAGTTTTAAAACTTGGGACCTTTTCCATAATGGCCAAAGCTTTAAATTACCTCAGGACTCCAGAAGGAAGCCATTCAGCCTGGAGATAAGAAAACTGTCTCATTTTATGGAGTGCTCTTTGGGTTTTATGGGTTGATTAGTAAAAAGGACCAAACTGTCACTGGTCAGCTCAATGTATCCACTTAATACAATCCAAAAAGCTATAAAAGTGGCATTTCATGTGAGCGAGGAGGTGTACTTTGGACATTTAGTAGCTTAAAACCTGATGTTCTTTCATAGCACATCAAATGCATTTGGCAAACGTTGGTTTGCTAGACTATTCATGAGTTTGGCAACATTTGCTTGGCTATCATGATTCAATTTCACCATCATTTTTGGAAGTGATTTCTCTAATTCAACAGAATTTCATTCTTTACACTTCTTCCTTACATTTCACAACCCAATTACTTTTGTAAACCATTGCGTTATTGAGTCAATAACCGAATATTCAATCAAAAACTGTCCGGGGCTTGATTATCCATCAGAGACAGAAACTGTAGAGTTGGAAAAGTTAGAATTGATGACCATCAAGATCTTACAGAACATTATGATAAAAATATTATTAAAAACAAACAATCTTTCATTGGAATAACACACACTGATGAATAATTGAAAGTTTTGATTTCATTTGAACATAAAGGGACGTGAAACCCTAAGGCCGTGTGTCCACCAGACGCTCTGCTGAAGACGCCGTGCTTTGGGCGTTTTGGCAGCACAGCGTTTTTTCCGTTAAGACGTTTCGTTGCTATGATACAGAATATCCGCAGCAGTTTGAATGTTGTGACAGTTGGTCGGTGTGGTATTAGTCCCGCCCCTCCTCCACTGTGATTGGATGGCTCGGTAACAGTTGACAGTGATGAGTTTTATCCAAAGTTGAACATTTTTCAACTCCCAGCGACCAGTAAAAACTCTGGGCGCTCGGTGCGTCAGCGTGGAAAAAAAACGCTCAGCGCCTCGTTGCGCTCATGGCAGCGCAGTCTCATCCCAAGACGTCATATAAATGACGTCTTGGGATGTCTTTTGACCATACGTCAATATCCGCCTTTTTAGGGTACCCTTAAACGTCGGTTAGATGACGTTATCGGATCCTAACCCCAGACCTAAACCTACCCCTAAACCTAACTGAAGTTAAAGGTAAAGCTTCAGTTGTATGACGTCCCAGGATCGTCATATAACCGACGTTTAAGGGTACCCTAAAAAGGCGGATATTGACGTATGGTCAAAAGACTTCCCAAGACGTCAGTTATATGACATCTTGGGATGAGACTGTGTTAGCTCATGGCGTTTAAAAAATGGGGCGCTCCCATTGAAAACAATTGAAAACATACGCCAGGCGCGTGGAAAACCGCTTTGGTGGACACACGGCCTAAAACAATTCAACAGATATTGTATGCATGTGTTATATCAATCATATCATGCAATATTTTGATCATTAAGGGGAATGCAGTTATTATATAGGCTCAATGCTACTGTTGAAAATGTTGGGGTCATTAAAACTTGACTTAAAAGTAATACTTTCCACAAACATATTCATATACAAAAATGTTTCTTAGGCAGCTAATCAGCTTATCAGAATGATTTCTGAACGACCATGTGACAAAGACTTGGGTTTTTTATGTATTTTTTGTTAATGACTGCTAATATTAAATGCATTTGGTAAACATTTGCTGAGCTACAGTATGTATGGTGTAAGGCTGTCACTTTTATCTAATCTGAAGCCCCCTCATATCAGATTTACACTGGTTTGACTGAAGTCTATTTTTAAACCCCTTCCAGTCTCCAGCTTTCTGCATTTAATGATGTTGTAAGTGCAGAGGTAAGTGTTTGAATGATTAAGCTGTGCAAGGATACACAGTACTTCAACCTTGAAGAGAGTGCATTTGCAGGGTCTCAAATGCTCCTATTGCCTGTACTTCACGCTGGAAGTTTTCCCATGTAAAAGTGTTCCCAAACTAGAAAACCATGGATCTGTTTAAGCCCTTCTTAGTCATGTATCAGCGTGACACAGCCATTAAGCCCCACACATGATTACAAGCTTCATTAGCCTGTCAATCATCTGCTAGGAGCCCACCCACAGAACTCCCTTCAGAGAGAGGGTGCCGTCCAGACACAATCAATCGAGCTTGAGTTATTGCTTCTCATTGCTGAGTCTCAATCACCGTTCATATTTAATTAATTGAGTGCGTTGAACTCAGATGCGGATGGATCAGGCCCATTTGTGGAACTTCAGGATAAGTGATATTAACGAGATGCTAAATTGAGCTTCTAATGATGTTATAAATCAACAACAAATCAGCTATAGCGCGGACACATTTCTCAGAGAGTGTACGCTACAAATTGGTGAAAAACAGATGTGTTGGCCGATAAGTCACAGTGAAGTTGGTGCATCAAAAGTAAAACCATACCAGGATCAATAAATCGGAGTTCTTTGAGTGCTACTCGTTCATGGATAAGTTGATATGCAGTTGCATGGTGACATTTGAAAATGGTCAATGGATAATGATCTTCGAAATCTGAAGTTTTGAGGTCACGATCATAGATTTGATAAAGAATGGTTATAAACATTGTCGAATGTTCCTTCTGTAATTTTTTTTTGTTTTGTTTTTTGGTAACTCTTTACAGTAAGGTCTTATTTGTTAACTTAACAATGAGTAATATATTTTGTAAATATTGAAATTGCCATTGAATAAATACTGTAAATGTATTGTTCATTGTTAGTTATGTTAACATATGTTAACAAATGAAACCTTGTAAAGTTTTATCATTGTTTTTTAAGGTTTTTTATCTATGTCGCACCAAATAGTAGAGCTAAATCTACACTCGGTTGAAGTGGATGTGATTTTTTTTTTAAAAATCAGACAGCTACTGAATTGTTCAAACGTCTTTTTAGTATGCCTGTCCTTCCCTCATCTATCATGTGTCACTTTTCTCACTCTGATGCCTTGTCACTGTGTCCAGATCACACAACAGACTTCTGGGATGCTTTTGCTATAATGGCAATGTTACGTTCAATAGCACGCGTGATTGATGTGTTTAGAGCAATAACATTGCCATCGATGTTTCCCTCCGAATAGCTCAGACAGCCTCATTTCCTCATTCAAAGACTTGACCATTTGAGTTTTATAAAGTTACATCACCTTAAAGTTCTTAAAGCAAAAACATGAGATTGTGTTGTATTGTGTTGTTGGTAGACGATTGTTGTTTCATTACCCTGTTTAATGAATGCTTTAATATACTTTTCTTTATTTTTTTAATATCCTGACAGTCATATAATTTCAGCAATGACAATTTTTATTTTATTTTTATACTATTTATGTCACCAATTACTTTTTTTTTTTTTTTTTTTTTTCTGAAAGCTCCTACTCCTACTGGGGCCAGCTGCATAAACTTAGCCACTATGTTATGACTCTGCCATAAGAACTAATTTGATCACTAGAAATTAGCAAAGAGGTAACCAGTCTTACTTTTCTGATTCAAATGAGACAGATCTACCTTTTTATGTACTGACTTTAAAAAGTAAGCACCAGCCTTGAAGAAAAAAAAAATTAGATGACTAACTTTTAAGTCTAGTTTATGCAACCGGCCCCCTAGCGTTGCCATAGAAATGCATAATTCCCAGTCTGAGGATGTGAACAGCTCCAAATAGATTATGACTTGGTGGCATAAATGCTGCATTATATCTTTTCTTCCTCTTGTTTGGTCAAAAATAACTAGATGAATTTTGATATGATCCTTTATGCTTCATTGTGCCTTTTCACGCCCTTTTAATCAAATGTAAAGCAAACAATAATGCTGGTAACCCTATTTTCATGCGCATTCTAAGTGTAGCATATTCCGTATTTCCTTGTCATGAATAAAGGTTCTCGTAAAGGAGTGTGTGTGTGTGTGTTATTGAGGCGCATCATTGATGGTTGTGTGTGTATCCTGTCTCAGCAGATTCGCTGTTCAGCGGCCTAGGCCTGGGTGCAGTGGTTGGGCTGGGGTTATCTGGCCTGCTGCTGCTGCTCGTGCTGGTGGACGTCAGCTGCTTCTTCCTGCGCCAGTGTGGCCTGCTCATGTGCATCACTCGCAAGCTCTGCAGCAAAAAGACAGCCACAAGCGGCAAGAGCAAAGAGCTGGAGGAAGGCAAAGCTGCCTACCTGTGAGTATCCCTTTTGCATAAGTAATCTGCATTTGTATTGACATTTATTCGTTTAGCAAATGATTTTATCTCAAGAGATTTAAATGCAGGGCTCTGAACTGGTTCGAGAAACGAAATTTTAACTGGAACATAAAAGCGAAAAGGGAAATCAAGTGTAATCATTCTGAACAGAAATGGTTATTGTTAAATTATGTTTTTTTCACCGTTCTGTGATTTTAAGATTTTAATTTTGCAATCAACAAGTCATTAATTCAAATAGTACAGCCTGTTCAGCCTGAGTGAAATGTCCGTGCTCTGTTAAGTCATTGGTAATTTGCAATGGCAATCCGCCGGTATTAGCTTTTGGATTTCAGTTTTTCTCATTACTTGTAAGCATTACATTTAAAGGGATAGTTCACTTTGAAAATGTAGGTGTCTTTGTTTCCACAGTATTTTCAATTTTGACATTTTTCAGTCAAACCGTTGTTGTCTATCAGTCATACACTGGAGGCTAAGGGGGTCCACCAAAAGCATGCACAGAGAAGTCAAAATTAAACATGATTTAATGACTCATAAATGTAAGTACACATTGATGGCCTAAGACACGAAACGAGCGTTTTTTTTTTGTGAGAAAACGAACAGTATTTATATAGTTTTTACCTCGTGTAATCACAGTGACGTCAAAGTGATCTGAATCAGTTGTGCAATGTCCAACTGAACCGAACTGAATCAGTTCAATGTTACGCAGGAAGTGATCGCTTGCGTGTGAAATCACTCATTATTTACACTGAGATTTCGGAAGTTTTACCTTTTACTAAACATATTTAGTTATACCGAAATCGTCTTCCATTGCGGTTTTCCGTATATCTAAATATGTTTAGTGAAAGGTAAAACTTCCGAAATCTCTGTATGAACAAAGAGTGACGTAGGCACGCAAGCGATCACTTCCGGCGCATGCGCAGACCGAAGCGCCCGTGCAGTCAGATCATTTTGTCATGGCTATGATTACAAGAGGTAAAAACGATAGAAATACTGTTCGATTTCTCACACAAACCGCTCGTTTCGTGTCTTAGGCCATCAATGTGTACTTACATTTACGAGTCATTAAATCATGTTTAATTTTGACTTCTCTGTGCATGCTTTTTGGTGGACCCCCATAGCCTCCAGTGTATGACTGATAGACAACAACAAAAATTAAATTCAAAGTGAACTATCCCTTTAAGTGAAAATGAGTGGCAGGTAATAGCCAGTGTAGGACCATTGTGAATCCAATGGACATGCAAGATTTTGTCACAAGCTCTTAGTAAAAAGTTTGGAATGGTAATAATATTACAGAAGGAACTCGTGAATAAAAATGTTGAAATGCTGATTCTGCTCATAGTGAACCATTTTTTAAGCCCTGAGTACAAGATGCATTGTTTCCTGTAACTTTAATCCTTATGTAAATACACATGCACTATAAGTCTGAAAATGTCATATGCCATTGCATATTAAAAATATTTTAAAGTTCAAACAAATGTTGCAAGTGCAATGCCTATCACTTCCACTCAAGAGAGAGTCTCAGTCAGATATTAGTTTGGAAAAATAACTTGCAGCTTACTTTGCATAAAAAGTAATAAAGTAACATAATTAGTTCGTTTTTATAATGAGTAACATTGTCTTTAAAAGTAATGTTACCTTACACTAACTACAACAAACAATGTGTCTTCAGTTGACAGTAAAACATGCTGCAATACAAAGTCCTCAATTTAACCTGAAAAAGAAAGGTTTCGACAGACAAAGAGTTTTATTTATGGAGCATGTACGTCAAAGAAGTGCTTAGTCTACAGGCTTATCAGTTTGTTTACTGTGAATCACTCTGACTGTGATTGAATTGCAATCTGAGTTTTATTGTTAGTTGAATTGAATGTTTTGCCTCCGATTGGTGCCTTTACGGTTCCTGACATCGTGTGTAGACTTTGTCCTTTGGTTTGCAGGGTGAATAAACTGTAGTTATGCATTGCCTGCTGGAAAAAAACTCTCAAGTCCTGCCAGGTTTACTTGGCTAAAGGTTCAAAGAGATTAAGGACCGTGATTGACTTCAGCTTTGATAACAAGCAGATATGAGCCCCATGCTATCCCAAAGACCCTGTTTTGAACTTAAGTAACATTATTAGAGTGATGATGATCCCAGTGAAAAGAGGAAAGTTCCTTTCCAATGTTATCCCATGTGATGAAGAGTCACACAGGGACCTTAGAAATAATGCACAGATGCAACCAATCTGTCACATGGCCTGATGCTCACTTTGTGGCCTAACAATGTTACACAAATTACCTCCAGAAAACCTACATTTATAAACCTATAGGTTGACATTAAAGTCAACAATAATGTGATGTAAAGTATTCTTGAGTGGAACCAGATAGCTTGATTTCATCCATTGGGATATTGTTGGGAATGTTTTTGATAGGTGGGGGTTGAAAAAGTTAATAAGGTGAGCTGAGCTAAGCAGGAAAGCGGAAAATGTGATCCTTTTTAATTAAAGATTACAAAGACAGACATTATTTGTCTTTGAAAATACTATTTCATTATTAGTTGTTCCTAGTTAAAGGGTTAGTTCACTCTAAAAAACAATAGTTTAACATTTACTAACCTTTTTGTAGTTCCAGTATTTTTTTTGACCCCACTGACTTTAATTGTATGGACAAAAACAAACATTTTGTCCAAAGCGACTTACATTGCATTTCAAGGTTCACACACTCACATTATTAACAATTCTTGCTTTCCCTGGGAATCAAACCCATGACCTTGGCATTGGAAGTACATTGCTCTAAAAATGTTTGGGTCAGTTAGATTGTTTATTCTTTGAAAGAAATGAAAGCAAATATGCAAATCTATTTCACATAAATACTGTTTTTCTGAATTTTATATTCCAAAAATCATTGAAAAAAAAATGTATTGTAATATTTCACAATATTTCTGTATTTCTTAAAGAAATGCAGCCTCGGTACACAAAAGGGACTTCTTTTTAAAAACATTTTAGAAGTCCTACCGACCTCAAACTTTTGAACAGTAGCCGTAATTTGGGTGCATGGCTCAAACCTGACCCGAAGCCACCTTTTCAAGCATCTCATCGAGCCCATTCTCATCCCAAGGCGTCATCTACGACGCTTTTGCCAAAGCGTAGACATCCAACGCACGTGGCACCTTTTAGCGTCAAATGAGACACAGAAATATATGGGGCAGAAGGCGCCTCCTAGTGGTCTAACCCTAACCCTAAACCTACCATGACCGAAGCGTCATTTGACGCTAAATGGTGCCATGTGCGTTGGATGTCTACGCTTTGGCAAAAGTGTCGTATATGACGCCTTGGGGTGAGAATGAGTTGTCTCATCAGTACACAAAGTTCCTAAAACAAACCAAACGTTGGCGCCAAATGGACTCTGCAAAAAGCCCCCCAAGTCTGAATTTCAACCTCTGGGCCCCCACAATGGCTAATTGTCAATTGAAAATGTGTTTTTGACCACTCTTTCAAACTGACCACTGTGCATCTTTCTTCTCTTCCGACAGGAAATTGCCACTGAAAGAAGAAAACGGCAAGGAGACTCTGAAACCGGACACGATCGAGATCAAAGTTCACGGTGACAACAGCCTACACATGACACAGGAGGACAGTAAAGCGTAATGGAGGCCCTGCTGTCCTCAAAAAAAACAAAAAAAACATGCAAAGTGAGCCACCCAGAGACCAATAGCAAGCAAACTAATGAGAATACAAGCAAGAACACGCCAACCAATTGTAAGATCGTTTGTTAGAGACTCCTCGTCTGGGGTATCAGAAGAGGCCACGCGATAACTGCATTGTGAAACATTTTTCGGAGGTTGTCGTTCAACAGACAGGCTCCCGTTTATTTGTGCTTGTTCTTGCTTATTTTGGGGCTTCTTTTTTTCAAAGCTTTGCTGTTGCTTTGAGTCTGATTCTTGGTTGTTTGGAGGTCGGGTCTATGCCGTAAGCTTCACGTTTTCTCTTATTCTCATTCCCTATTTCTTTGGGATCCGGCTGTTGCACTTTTTCAGTGTGGTTACGCAAAAAAAACAAAAAAAACAAAATCCTTAATGCGTCACTCAAAACTAAGCGTGTGGAAATCCCCCAATTTTTTCAGTCTGTGTTGTAGTTTTGGGTAACTGTTTCGGTAATGTTTACTTTCTAGCCTTTTTGCCACTATGTCTCACCCAAATGCAAATAAAATTACAGAATGCTCAGTAGCAAAGCAAGGATCAACCACACTTGACCCCAAACTGAGTACATGGTAAATGGGTGACACAGGCCCAACTTGGTCTGAATGATGAATTACTCATAGATTACAAGTGTAATTGTGGTTGAAAATATGTCCTTGTTTCCAACACTGTTGTTTCATCAGAATCAGTGGAGCATCGTTTGTGTCATACTTTCTTGTGGAGATATCTTGGAAACAAACAAAAAAAGAAAGTGCTTTTCCTTTAGAACCGTGTGAAAGTTTGTATGTGTGTGTCTGAGCATGGCCGTGTTGTTGTGTCGGGGTGTGTTTGGATGCGTGTAGTAGCGAGCATGGAGTGTAGAAAGATCAAGAGTGACATAAAGAAAGTAGAGGTTGCCAAGTCTTAAAGGATTAGGGAAATATGAAAAATAAGTGTGCTGATGTAAATACTTGTTTTGTTTTGTTTTTTGTTTTTTTGTTTTTTTGAACATTTCACAACAGGAAAAGAAAATATGATTCATTCCAGGTTCTGTCATAGTGTCACACATAAATGATGACAAATTATGTGCATCAAAATTGGCAATCAGTGTAAAGGTATTCTGTGTAAGTGAGGTTATGGAAAGCTAAAGAATGGCAGGTGGCCAAGAAGGTGGGTTCAGATGAATCACAGAGGTTTTAGCTATACTTTTTTTTTTTTTTTTTTTGGAAATCAAATCCATGCCATTTTGGGATAATTTGAGCAAGGAAGTTTTGGTTGTAAGATAGATCAGGGGTCTGCAGGTGATCAGGATCTTAGTGTTGCAGTAATATGGATGGAAATGGCATACTGCTAGACGCATGCCCATTTTACCAATCAGAGTTTGAGAAAGAACTCTTGATATCCATCTTAATGTTCAGCATATTCACTTTGGTTTGGGCCAGCTAATTTCTTCAAAAAACAATTTTGCACATATTTTTTCATAAACACCAGGCTCTCCACATTCAGCGCAATAGAACATTGTGGAATGTTGCCCATTTCTTTTCAGCAGTCTAAAGGGAGCACTCCATATGCCCAACTGTACTTGTGGAATTCTTGTAATCCAGTGTAATTTTCCTTCTGTAAATAAAAGTGTCCCAATATTAAAGTTTAAACCATTTGGACTTGGCTTTTTTTACAGCATATAGCACACATTTGTGTTAAAGAACATTTTCATAGTCTTTGATAATTATACAAGATGACTGCGCTCCAAAACCTAGTGAGCTGCCTACATTTGCAGTGTTTTAGGTGACTTCTTGACACGAAGATTGTTCCAAAAGGTTGGCAACAGACTACTGGTGGAATTCCTTTGGTCAAATTCTAAGGCACTATTGCATTCATCCTTCATAGAAAAGGCAATCCCATATTGCATTGCAACAAGCTTAGTAAAAAAAAAGAAAATCTGAAAAGAAATGTTGATGGTAATTACAGTAAGGTTTAATTTGTTAACATTAGTTAATTACATTAGTTGACATGAATTAACAATGAACAATACTTTAATTTCCTAACAAAACAAACAAAAAAAGATCTGTAATAGCTTTCGTGTTAATGAACAATAGCAACACTAGTACTATGAATTGTATGCATATTAGCCTGACAGGCTGTTGTTTTAGCAACACGATGATCTTAACACTTTGCATGAGGAGAGCTATTTATATGATGCAGTTGCTGTATATGTAGATCATACTAAATTGGTAATTTATGAGTATCCATTTCAGTTAATGTAAGCCACGACCTGTGTGGGCAGTAGACAGCAAGAAATTTACTGGGTTTTGAAGCACAGCCATTGAATATGTGGAGTGGGAAATTAATGTAGTTGAGATGCAATGGTCCTTAAAGGTTCCTGTCCTTGTCCTGGAGCTGTTGACCTGTGGAAATGAAGAACGAGACTGGAAAATCCATGCCTGACCACGTTTGAAAGAAACCATCTAAGTTTCCTTTGGGGGTCCCGCTGTCTGGTGCACTTTGAAGTGTAAGTACTGGAGAGCAAATGCAGACTCACCCGGGCATTAGTGTCCTCGGCCTTGGCTATCCACTAAACACACATGGTCTGTAATCAGGGTGAACACAGTAGAAAATTACTGCCCAACCGAGAACAGTTTTGAGAATGTAAACTGATCTTTCCATAATGATTCACTCAACCCTCTCAGGTTTTTCTGAATGAGCTAATGAAATGGTGTTAAATCCAGCCAAACCAGTATGGTTTATCTTTTGTCCTCTCTTTTTACTAACCCCCAGGTTGTGCTAGTCAATTCAAAATCAACTGTAGTTCACTTCTTGTATAAACGCCTAACTGGGAGACCTTGTAGGTTACATGTTCACTGCAGAACTGTGTGGCCTTTGGAAAGATGCTATGAACATGGATTTATCTGAGCTGATGCATTTTATACTAATATACAGATTATGTTTTAAGGTGTGATGCACATTTTCTGTTGTTCAGACGATTTCCATGGGTAAAATAAAGTGGTTTTGATCGCAATTCATGTGATTGGGAATTTTGTGACAGGTTCAGATTTCGCAACAGGTTCAAGTTGGTTGTTACATTGACCAAAGGAAAGCTGCTTGGTTTGATAGTGGATAACGTGTGTGTGAAGCGTGCTTTGTGTATCACTAGAGTTGGGGTACTCAAACTCGGACTCGAGTCCAATTTTGAATGAACTCGGACTCGACACAGACTCGGACATTTTAGACTCGGAAAAATGTCCGAGTCGAGTCCGGGCACTGGAGGACACATTATTCAAAAATGAAATGAAACTACTTGTGTTTTGTCCGCGTTGAGCATTGTAGCCAATCACAGACATGTATATTAAGCGCATTAACACAGTAGCGAATCAGAGGCATTTTAGAGTCAACATGCAGAGAATTCGCTCAAAACGTATGTTCAGAATCAGCACGAGCTTTATCCTTTTGCGAATCCCCTCAAAGACAAAGTCTAGACGGGATATAAATGAGAGATTCACTGTGGAATGTGGATAACTTCAGTGTTTATGACAAGAGTTTTAGGGAGAATGCAGAACGCGGTAAGTGATGGCTTAAAGAGAGCGGTATTTTGACAATCTAAATAATAATTTTGGGTTTTTTTGTGCTTTCTAGAGCACCAGTGGTTACGTTCACAGTGTAAATTTAAAAAAGTGATAAATTGCAATGATTGACAGTAGCCTATAAACATAGCAACATTTTGGCGACTAATAATTGTATGATTTTTGTTACATTTACACTTTAGTCATAAGTTTACATTCACCTTTCAGAATCTCCAAAATGTGCTTTTTTTTTTCTTTTTTTATTAATAGGAACAATCATAAAAACATTGTGTCTATTCAGTACTGCACTGAAAAAGCTTTTTCACATTACAGATGTTTAATGGCCTAGTCCATCAGACAAAATACAAGAGAAATTACTTGATTTTAATATTGTGTGTCATTACCTGAATGATCCACAACTGTTTTTTGTTTGTTTAGTTGTTTTTTCTAATGGTTGTTCAAGAGGAAAAATCCTCCAGCTCCGACACATTATTTGCTTTTCCAGCATATTCTTTATTTGACTCCTTACCAGCAGTGACAGTGAGATCCATCTTTTCGCACTGGTGACAAGTGAGGGACTCATACACAATCATTACAAACCCTGTGAATATTTAGTGATGTTCAGGAAGGAAGCATCCATTAAGGATGGATTAATTAATTTAGTCCTGCCCTTCAGAGGCTAAAAAAAGATATTAGCATGTAAAACAAAATAATAACAATTTAAACATCACCATCATCTTGCTCAAAAGTGTACCCCTAGCTTTTTATGCATCTGGTTGCATTCTTGAGCATTACTATATCTATAATCTCTGGCATTACCTTGCAAACACCTTTTTCTCTTTGCTCCTCAATATATTTTTCACAGTGTGAGAACATGTAGAGCGAGAGCGGAATGGCTTGTCGGACGTAGCAACAGTAACTAAGAGGGGCGGGTCTATGTGAAAGCTCAATTTCAAATCATTTAAATCTTTGTGGACTCGGCCGGACTCGCCTCGGACTCGGATGTTAAGGACTCGGACTCAAGTCCGACTCGGCCCTCTTTGGACTCGGACTTGGACTCGATTATTAAGGACTTGGACTCAACTCGGACTCGACAAAGGTGGACTCGGACCCAACACTATGTATTACTACACCATTTAAAATTGACAATGAAATTTTGCTAATGTGACCACCCCTTAAGAAATCCGATACCCATGTAATACAGGTTTCAAAGCCTATGAAGGAGGCCCTTTATGTGCAGAAATGTATTAATGCCATGTGGAGTTTGAAAGAAGTTTGATTTTTGTGCAAATGTTCAATGAGAGAACTGTTGCAGTTTCCATATAGTATGTCCAGTGCTGTGAAAAAGTATTTGTATATTCTGTATTTATTTATTTTTTCTGCTTAGATATAAATTCCATATTTTTTATTGAACACCAAAGAAATGAAAGATGCACCAAACATTTGTGCCAATTTTACATCCAGACTATGTATGCATAAATACATAAAATCAGAAATTCAAGGGCAGTTTTCTTTTTACAGCACTGTATGTATTAATGTTGAAAAGTTTATAAGGATTTCAGATTATTAAAAGGATTGTCTGTTTTCTCTCACATAGTCTAGAAATCTAGACGCACCCTAGTGGCAGCAAAAATGTATTTTGCCGCCAGTGTGGTCTAGCAACTCTCCGCTGGCTTTCGAAGTGGAAAAACCAAACTCTGGTCAGGCCAATCACATCGTGTATAGAGTTGGTTTGCGGGCTTAACACAATGATGGCAGAGTTGTGACGGTTCTGCACGATGATTTCCATAGGTGAATCCCCTGTTACATGAAAACAAACAAGATGCTGCTGGCGAACAGTGGTCTTTCGAATTGGTTTTGGCCGCGACTCTGGAGGACTTGGAGTTAAGAGAACGTCATTCTTAAAAAAGGAAGATGTGTTCGGAGTTTTGACGACCGGATGTGGCAAAAGTTCGTTCGTGGTTGGTTGTGGCGCTCGTTGCTCTGGTTGGTTGTGGCGCTATCCTATGGCGTGCTGAGGGATATTGACAGACAACGGTTTATCCCGCCCCACAGATTGAGGTATGCCAATTGTGAGTTCCCAGACCTAACATCTTGATGTAGGTCTGGCTTGCCAGGCTAATCCATTTAAGCTTTCTTATAGAAAACAGCCAATAATTTGAATAGTCTGGTGTTTGCTTTTCCCCCCAATATAATATCCTTCAAAGTTTCATAAAGGCGAACAATACACTCAAAATGGCATAATTTGGAGCACTTCTAAAATGACTATGTGGTCTAAAATGATCCTGTAGCTTTTTAAAAAGTGAATTTGGAACTATTTGCTACAATTGTTGGCTTAAAGGGACACTAAAGGGACCTAAAATCTATACTGCTTAGAGCGGATTAGCTAGAACCCAGAACCTCTGACACGCTTGGCAAAAGTTCTGCCAACCCGATCTCACGACCAAGTCGTACGAATTCGACGAATGATTAAAAAGTGGCTAATTCGTAACAATTCATACGACCTCACTCATACGAATTAATACGATTTTGCTAAATCGTACATATTTTACGAATTGGCCAATTCGTATGAATTCGTACGAATGACCTACCCCTTACCCCGCCCCTAAACTTAACCATCACGTGGGTTTAGACAAATCGTACGAATTAGTACGAGTGAGGTCATACGAATTAGACACTTTTTAATCATGCATCGAATTCGTACGAATTGGTCGTGAGATAGTGTTGGTTCTGCTACTGGACCATTAAAGTACATGGGGATAAAAGTCGGATCTATGTATTTAATCACGTGGAAATTCTCACACAATGTGCTATTGTTTACTATGCGACACATCACGCCATGTCACGCTCTGAGTGAGTGGTATTTACGACAGTAACGTTAAACACAAGTACTCCACAGCGACTCTAGGGGTCGCAGTTTGACAAAAACGAAATTCCTGCATAGTGTGCCTTTAATTTCAAGACAGCTGTCAAGATGTCTCTCTGGCAGCGGGGGAATTAGAGCTAGATTACAATGTTTGTTTGTATTGTGTTTCTCTTTATTTGAAACTGTTATTGCTTCTGTTGTTAATGTATTTCAACCAAAGAAATGCCTT